TGAGGTCAGAAGAAATTTTACAACCTGAAATGCTGCAGCCTGCCTCTTGCCCCTGACCCAGGGTGTGCCTTTATCAAGCAATCTATGTAAAGGCTCTGCCAAAGTAGCCTTGTGAGGTAAAAGGATTGCATAGAAGCTTAAAAGCACCAGAAATGCTTGAAGTTCTGTTTTGTTTTGGGGCGTTGGTGCCTTTTGAATGGCAGTGATTTTAGATTCAGTAGGATGGAGACCAACAGCACCAAGGGAGTATCCTAGGAAATCTACCTTGGTGACCCCCACCTTCCATTTATCTTTATTAACTTTAAGTCCTACCTCTTGTAGTCTTTTGAGAACTATGTGTAAATGTTCAAAAGTTGTTTTCTAGATGTGGCAGCTATCAATATATCATAAAAGTATGGTATTATTCCTTGTATGCTTTGCAATATATGTTCCATCAAATTTTGAAAAATGCCTGGACCACACTTACTCCAAATTGAAGGCACCTGCACCTAAAAGCCCCTCTATGTGTGATGATGGTTTGAGCTTTTGCAGTCAGGTCATCCACAGGCAACTGTTGGTAGGCCTGTGAAAGGTCTAACTTTGTGAAAATGGTGCTGTAGTCTATGGAGTGTATTAAATGTTGAACCACAGGTACAGGGTAAGAGTGTACTTGTAAAGCTCTTTTAATTGTACATTTGAAATCAGCACAGATTCATACCAATCCATCACCTTTGACAGGTGTCACTATTGGGGTCTCCCATTTTGAGTGATCAACAGATTCCAATACCCCTTGTGAAATTAATTTGTCCAATTGTGCATCAATCTTTGGTTTAAGGGAAAAAGTCAGGTTCCTGTATGGAACTGATTCCCAATCCCAATGACTGGCACCAGATTTGATTGGTAGTCTCTGAGGTGAATGCTGCAGGGCTGTAAACATTTCTTTGACATCTGTGGAACCAGGCTTTTGATAGTACTCCAAGAAATAATTGATAGGGAAGCCCCTGTATCTATTTCCCTTTTTAAAGGGACTATTCTCAATTTTTACATTTACAAAAAAAAATCTTTCCCCCTAGTCTATTTGTTTGCCCAAAAACTGCTTTGATATTCCTATCCAGCCCCTCTAATGTGAAGCAATCTTCATAATGAGCTGTTCCTTTCTCCCTGGTATTTTGAAAATTTGGGTTCTGAAGTGGTGGTAGAAGAGCCCTACAAACTTTAACTAAGTGCCCTTTCTTTTGGCAGCAAAGACAGACTGCATTTTTAAATGTACAAACCTGTCTCTGGTGATTTCCCCCACAGCCTAAACAAAAAGGTATTGTCTAGTGAGGTTTTGCTTCACCAGACCATTTTTTGGCCATTGGTGTTCTGAGGTGATTAATATCCTGGTCAGGATCTATATCTTCTTCAGTCTGTTCCATATGAACAGACTGGTTCTCTCTACCTGTAACTGTCTCACCTGATCCCGGTATTTCAGCTGGAGATTGATTAGACAGCTCAGCTGCCTGAGCTTCATCAATAGCTTGCTGCAGTGATAAATCTGGCTTAACTAGCAAATGTCATTGAAGGCGGAGGTCTCTAACTTCATAGACTAATTGATCCAAAAGGATTATCATCTAGTTCCCTGAAGCCACAATGCTGAGTGGCTTTTCTTAGAGCAGCCATGTAATATATATTCTTGCCCTCAGCCTGATAATGCCTATGAAAAGTGTGTCTCCTAGCTATTCTGGATGGCTTAGGCACAAAATAGCTTCCTAGGACCCTTAAAATAGTCTCCCAAGATACCTCATGTACTGTCTGAGGTGACAAGAGCGCAGCTGCCATGTCAAAAACTTCAGCGCCACAAAAACTTTAAAAAAAACCACTTTTTTCCTTTCTGCTGAAATATCGTGCAGGTCATTTGCCTTAATAAAACACTCAAATCTGTCAAGATAAGATTCCCAAGTATCAGTTCTCAACTGATATGGGGCAAAGGAGAGTGCCATTGCCATTTCAGCAATGGACAGCTCTGAGTGACTTCAACAGTAACTTCAGCTCTGAGTAACTTCAGCTAACAGATTCTGAGTGACTTCAGCAAACAGATTCTGAATCTCCAGCTGGTTGTCTCCCTTCTCTATCCCATCTTCATCACCAGTGTTAAATAAGAGTGGGAATTACTGAGACAGACCAGATGATTCAGGTAACCCTTTTATTTTAATAGCTAAATGCTGTAAATGTAAAACATAAACAGCGCACTAACATAGTGACTGACAGGCGACAGCTGATCGTGTCTGACAGCGCTCTTTATATAGTCATGCTGCCTCCCGCTTGTTTCTCGGACCAGACAGAAGACTTAATTCACAACAGAATCTATATAAGTATCATAAATCAAGAATGATTATCTGTATGTTTCATGGAACTATACTATATATAAGAAAATTACTTTTGTGTGGAAATTTATAGCAGCAGTAAGGAATCTATGGCCCTCCAGATATTATTGAATAACTCACAATCTATGGCCACTAAACTTGCTGACTAAGTGTGTTTGAAATCCAACAGATTGAAAGCTAAGGACCCAGAACAAATTTCTGTTGTACTTGATTGTACTGTAATCTGTCTGATGTTAATGTCCTGGAAGTCCCAATGAGAATAGTATACAAGGTTTAATTGTGAGAGAACTACTTGTGTTGATACCACATGACAAAGTAGCAAGAGGCAGCAAAAGTTCTTTGGGTAATTATCCAGAAAAACTGAAACTCAAAAACTGAAACTAATAGACATCTGTCTAGACAGAAAGTTGTGGTGATTCACCTAATAGCTATTGTCATCTATATTTTATTATTGAAAAATTACTGAAGTGGTCAAAATAGTTGAAGTTTCATATGTGTTCATATTTGTTCAGTTTCAAAAACTATTTTCTCATATCCATGTATCTGTTTGTGGCTCATCTTGGTTTTAACTTATTAACTTAACTTATCTAGATGTAGGATGGAAGAGAGCTTCAAAAATGCAGAGTTTAAGCATTATAATTCAGTATGTCAGTTTTTGTCAGGTATACACAATTTGTTTGTGTTTCCTTTTCCCCTGCAAATTTAAATTCAGATTGAAGAATTAATTAAGAAAACACAGCAACTGTTGCTTAAAACATTTCATAATTTTATACTATGCATTATTCTAATTTAGGACTATATTGCATATATCAACAGTCTTCTATTGCTTCAGCACAATTGCCAAGGGCATTATAAATTGGGACATTAATCATTTTTTAAGAAAAAATCCAGGCAATATTGAAATTTCAGGTCTTTATTACTAGTGACTTTATACTCAACTAACTTATATGAACTGGAATAGATTCTGCATACCAATATTATCACATTGAATATAAAGCAAGTTCCCATTTAAAAATATTATACTGGCAATGTGCAGTTATTGTGTTTAAAGTCTTTTCTGTCCAAAATTCTTCAAGCTATTTAAATTTCATGATCTTCCTATTTCAACAGAAAAACTAAAATTGAGGTTATAGATTCACAAATGAAAATCTTTTGTCCTTAATAGCCTTTAGCTTGTCTTGCTAATACAATCATGTTGTTCTTTCCCGATTTTTCTTCAATTCTTTTAGATTTTTTTTCCTGCTGTTCTGACATCAATTGGTTTGTTTTTTCAAATTTTCAAAGAAATAATGTGGAAGATTAGTCAAATTTACGTAAAATATTTGACAACATTCAACAAAGGTTATTTCATTAGTCTAATGGTAGATTTGAACACTTCATTAATTTCCAAACATCTGAAAATGAAAGGAAAAATGTTTACTGATTAAAAATTGTAATTTCTTATATTGTTATAAAAGAATAATCAACTTTTCCCACAAGACATCCTTAAAATATGATTTATAGTTCCCATAAATCCTTGATCAATACCAATCCTATTAACTGACTAAGGCCACTGGATTAAGAAAAGATATAAAACTCAAAACTGCAGAGGTACACATGTCTGTCACCCCAAATCTTAGATCCATTCTTGAGTGATTTCCATAAATTGTTACAAAAATATAATATTTAATCACAGGAAGATTAAAATTAAGAATTGCCATATGGATTATATAATTTTCAATACCGTTGAGCATACATTGATACTTAATGCTACAATCACTCCCAGGTATATAATATAATATAATATAATATAATATAATATAATATAATATAAT